GTTGTTGAAATTGTCAGCTGTAAATACTTTACTTCTTGAAAGATAATAGAAAGCATTGTAACAGGCCTGCAGAAAAAGCAGTATGTACGTTGTTAAAGGTCTGCTACAGAAGAAAGCCCACGTGAAAACACCAAACACAGCACTTTGGAAGGTAGAGATTACGATGTTATAAAAATGAAGAGATTCTCTGGAATTCTTGCTGCGATATACTTCAAGACAGTTAAACATACCACCCATCAGTTCCACAGAATAACCAATTCAAGTCTGAAACAGATTCCATTGGGCTAAAAAAGTAAAAAATATTTTGTGGTGAAACTTGAATAAATGTTCGCTGACAGTCATACTGAAAAAAGTTCAGTTAATGTTTTAGTCCAGTATGTGAAGTCAGTGTTAGTTACTCTACAGTAGTCTGTACTGTCACATTTTATGCATAGCAAATGGGTACAAATATTTTGAGGGATACAGATTTTTTGGCACCAACTGATCTTGCTGACCACTAGTATTTGTATATTGGGTATTTTGTAGTTTTTCAAGCAACAGAATAATTCATTCCTCTGTTGGGGTAGTCTTGTGGTCAAAGCATATGCCTCTCGAGCTGGAGACCTTGGTGAGGTGAGGTGAAATTGGGTTTAACGTTGTGCTTGAGAATATATCGCTCATATGACGACGTGCATGCGTGTGTATGTGTATGTGCGGCTGCTTGTACTAGCCCAGACTCAAGCTGGTTTTATAGTGCTAGCCCACTGAGATACCATGCCGCAGTGAAGCATGAATACCCCACTCAGACACATTGTACTGACTCCGAGCCGACCAGTCCTTGTTTTACCCATTAATGCCGAACGCCAGGCAGGGACCAACAAGTACCATATTTTAACGTCTCTTGGTATGACACGGTCGGGGATCAAACCCGCAACCTTCCGCTCTCCGGGCGGACAATCTTACCACTACACCACAGAGGCGGTCAGACCTTGGTTCAATTTCCCACATGGGTACAATGTGTGAAGTCCAATTCTGGCGTAGATATTTCTGTAATATTGCTAAAAATAGCGTAAAACCATCACTCACTTCATTCCACTGCCATGTTTTGAAATAGATGACATTATTATGTGTCTACTTTAGAGTATAAGATGGCCACAGGACTTTGTTGTTATTTTACATACAATCAGCAAAGTTGCCCAGCCTAACCACCTGAGGGATGATGATGTAGCCCTGAATGATATATCATGTGACTAACCATGTATCCGAGAAATCCTGTCGATACCTTTGTGCTACTCAGTACCCAGCCACACCAAGCACCAGAGTTACCCATCCCAGCCCTATAAGTTGGATGTACTTGCATTTGGTAGTACATGTCATCATATGTTTAATACTCACACTGAATGTACATTATTTTCACTCCATAACACGAATAGTTCATCTGCAGAAGAAGGGCTTGTCATGTCGTTTTGTATACATTTTTCAGAGTCACAATAATGATATGAGTTGTGTGTGGTCATGGTATGCATCATATCTCTTCCTTATTGCCGTCCTGTAGTCATCATTTTGACTTGGGGAGAGTTTTGAGGGACTTCAACATTGTTAGACACAGATTTATTATGACCACATGCACAATGCATGACTGTACCCAGGTAGAGAACAATGACTTTACTTACCAAGGCTGTTACTACTTCCTTGTTTACAAATGGTTTAGCTTTCCCATTATTTCTTTCACATTTGGGGCTTGTTGAAGCTTTCGGAGTCTTTGCAATAGTGAGTAAATAGGTCAGGATTTCTGACCTATGCACAGTCCAACAGGGAACAACATTGTAACAATGTAGGGACTTGAACAAGGGTCTTCAGCATGATGAGTGAACACTTTAACAATAAGGCTACCTCAGTATTCCTTGTCATAGTATTACTCAGTTTTATCACAGTTATTGTTTACCATGTTTTCAAATTTGATAAAAAATTGTTATGAATGCCTTTTTTACCATTAATTGCAACCAAATGATAATGAGTGTTCCAAATTTGGCATGCAGCTTGTTTATAACCCATATGTTAGAATCTAAAAGGTTTAAGGGATCACAAGATTCAAATACTGTAGCAGCAAACCTTAAGAACCCAATGGTTTGCTTTAGTTGGAATAACAAGTTATTTATTACATGTTGGACACTGTTTAGGTGCACCTTATCACTCTTTTATTTATATTTTGGAGAGTCAGAGAGGTACATAAGGGGAAACACCTTTAACATGATATTCCTTTGAGCTTCTCACAGATGAACTGTCTAGAATTACTGGTTAGCCTATTTCACTCTAGAGTGATATATTCTCCATGAAACTTGAGGAAGCATGCTCCCTTCCTTAATATTTTCTATTTCTGAACAAGGAAATGTTCGTGTCTAAATTTACAAGAACCAATATGCGCCAACGTCTTTTGAGCTCTCTTGTTTGCCAGCATTATCTTCAGAACAAATGAGTATTAATGTGGCTAAGCCTTCTCAACTGAAAGAGATTGTGCAGAATACTGGATTGGGACAGCCATGTAGAAGCTACCTCTAAGACTGTTCATTGGTCAACTTTGTTGGAATATCACTGATGTATTATCAGTGGTGATGTTGTCAGAGCTATATTACCGGTAGTTATCACCAGTGCTGTGGATGTGACAATGTAAGTAGTTAATTCCTGTTGTTGTTCCTCTGTCAACATATATATGCTGGGAGAGCTGCTGGGGAACCATATCTGACATAGGCAAAGTTAGAATGCACAGGACAGTAAATGAAAGGTCACTTAGTGGATCCTAGTACCAAATGACTGGTCTAGGGGACTACTGCAAAACGTAGGTCATGTTGAAAATCAAAGCATAAGAGAAGAACATAAAAATACAAAACCGACAAATACCCAGTACTACTAGTCATTGAGACACTATCTTTGGATTTTTAATTTTAATTTTTGACATTTGTACAATTTTTATATACAATTTAATAGTCATGGGTTGGCACACTCAGATTCCACCATATGAATCACCAGCTACAGAGGGAGACAGAGAAATCATTGTTTTGCATAGGCAACTGTCATCGGTGACACGGTTCTCTATGATGATCTTAGATGTGCCAGGATCTGCTGATCATGGGTTTGAATCCATGATTTGCCCTGAATATGATCCTTGGTCTGTAAGTACTGTAACTGTGTATGGAGTTTTCAGCAATGAATGTCTGAAAATCTGCGCTATCTGAGCTTTCATCACTTATTAAGCTGGCACAATGGGAATAACTAGACTGAAACCAAACTAGCTCTATTCACTTCATGCACACACAGATGAATAGATATTAATTTAGATGCAACCATATAGCAGTATAGATTCAAAATTAATTGTTAAATTCATGTCTGACATAAATTGGAAGTTTGATTGCAGGAGTTATTGAAGGGAAGATAGGCCCTCCTCAGCCACAAGATATGGTCTCAACTATATGTTCCTTGTTACATGTTAGACTTAAACAAACAAGATGCTTGGTTGTCAGCTACCACCACCAGCAGCAAATCACTTCTAAAGAAATTCTGTCTGACATAATGAAGAAAATAAATGGTCATAGTGTGGAAAATTTTGGTTGAATGAGCGTCAAGTCACAGTTCTTACTTCATTGACTCATTGCTGCAAAGGCCTGGCCCAATTCCCTACATCGGTGCCATTTCTGGTGTTACTAACCTTGATATTTCCAGAAAATTGCTCGAATTGATGCGAAACAATGCTCTCACTCAGTCTTAAGGCATCATATACACTACTTCACCAGCACCATCATATTTGTGGGATTATATGGTAGTCCAGTAGTTACAGTGTTAGCTTGGATTCAGTTCTGAAGATTATTGTCTGGTGTTCCCATCCCAAACCAATCACTGATTCACTGGCCATAAATTTGTCAGATGAGGTCACAAATTAAATTAGCTAATGAAATTATATGTGCAACTTCCTTACATCATATCACATCATATCATATATCTCTCATATTGTATCTTCTGTCATGTATAATGTTATATTTCATGTAAGAGAGAGAGAGAGTGTGTGTGTGTGTGTGTGTGTGTGTGTGTGTTTTACCACAATATAGAATACAATGTTGCATATATGATGAGGCCTAAGTAACATCCCTATCAATACACAGCCATGGAACCAGGCTTTTGTGCTATTTATGATGATTTGGACTGTAAATTCAGACATGTCTTGCAAGATCAGTGAAAATGGCATCAAAGTCGGATGGAAGACTGATTCTCCTCACCACAAGAGACACTTCTGAATTCTATGGATTATCTGTGGTCAGAATGCATTGTGCTTGCTGGCAAGGATGGTTCGAGGATCCATGATGTGGACATGAATACAGTGTAGCAAAGATTAAATCTGTGACCATGGCCATTTATAACACTGGATTACCTACGTGGAATCCATACAGCCACCTCAGTGATCGACAGGTCGAATTGACAGAGACATAGTGTTGACTTGGTTAAGAGCTGGAAGTCAATGAATATGAGTATGTCTGGAATTGAGATGAATCTTAGACATTAGAACTTTGAACTCTTACTTTTTGTGTGCTAAGGTCATTGATCAGGTGAACATTCGTAATCTTTCTTGTACTGAAGCTTGTCAGTGACTCGGTAAGATAACAATGCTTGGCATCATGGTATGAAACAAATTGTAGAAGGATAAAGTGAATTAGTTGAAGGATCTGTGTCAGGATTTAGAGAACTTTAAGCTGAAAAATCAATCTTAAACTTGTTAAATTTCATGTTCTTTGCTTGTAAACCTGAATAATAGGTATGAGAAAATGGTGATGTCTGAAAACACCTGACTGAGACCTTGCATCTTGAAGGAACTTGGTCTAGGAGTTCCAATTCAAGAATTGTTGTCTTTTTAAATAATGATTCGATTGTCCAGGCTGTGTTTTCAGTGAACTGTAATTTTAGTTATTTTGTCATAATGGAAGTCTACATTTTGCCATGACCCATCCAATGACATGTATGGGTTGCCTTCCTAGTTTCAGATGGAGCACCACAGTATGAACGTGGAGGTATGTTCGTAGACAAATCACTGTATAGATTTGGCTGCTAGTTATGCTTTTGTAATGTTTGATGTTTACCTTAACAGAAAAACCCACGTCACTTTCCATACAGGGATAGAACTGAATGCCAATGTGTGAAGAAAATATATATTTTGGTAAAACATTATGCCTTCTTCGAAAAGGTTCACTGACATGGATAATTATGTTCTATCCCTGGGATAAATAGACCTTTCCAGTAGATTGAGTGATTGATTAATAAGCTGTATAACAATTACAAGCATGTACTTGATACATACCTTCACCTGCCTTAACTAATCCTGCAGTGTCACAATCATCTACCAAGTGGAGATCCAGGTTAGACACATGAGAGGTGACTAACAGGATGAGAAGGTCATGCTCGCTGATATGGTGATTTAGTCATGTCTAAATTGTGTGTATCTATGCTCATGATGTCAATCACTAGACTGTTTGGTCCAGACAAGATTATTTACAGATCACTGCCATGTGGCTGGAACATTGATTAGTACGGCCTTAAAAAAATTAATTTTACCAAATCATTCACAACTTGAAAGAAGATAATGAGATTCACTGCTCTTGTTTGAGAATCAATGTTAGCAATGGTTGATCAACCAGCAGAAACTGTGGTTACCTGTGCAGAAAGCAAACTGTCCCATACCTAATGTGGGGTGTAACAGTAAGTTGTTACAATACCATGCAGGTAAAAATTTCTCAGTGGCTAGAAACACTGCCTTGTTTGTTGATAGAATAGGGGAAAACACATCAGCTGGTAAATGGTACAAACTGTGCATTATACTGAACACCCTGTGTTGTTACACCTGAAACGTTGACCTCAGCCCTGGTCAATGACAGGATTACCTCACTTGCCTTTATCTGCACTGGTAGTTAGTATGCATGTGGGTTGAATCAGAGATATGTTGTTTCTGTGTCCATCAGTTATCATTTCCAACATGAATTTCACAAAATGTAATAATTGATCTCAGATGTTTAACCCATGGCATGCCCCTTTTCAATATATATGAATTCCCATTGCAACATATACCTCTTAAAAGAAGTTTAAACCTGATTCTTTCATACTCATATACTTAATCTTTCATTGCAGGAATCAGATTTTCTTTACTTCTTTTGTATAGCATACAAAGTTCAAAGTGCAACCCTGCATGATTATGTTATTGACTAAATGACCCAGCATAATTAGATCATGTAGATGCCTCCAGCTAAAAATGATTCATTCAGAGACCCATTGTGATACCCCTCCATTGTATGTTTACTAATACATGACTCAGGCAGTTATGAAACATTTCAGGATTAACACTGTTACCCCAACTAAAGCATGCTGGAAGCCATGCCTACTAATGCTACTTCGTACTTAGTTGAACAGCAGTTGGGAGAACCATTAGGTTGTTAGCAAAACATGATATAAGGATTGTGTTTATATGAGGACACAGTTTTATGTTGCAAATGCATGGTGTGTGAGTCCCCTGTTGCAGCAAATACAGCACTTTGTCCAGTGTTCACTCAGTAACCTTTCAAACACCTGGAGGATTTCCTTGTCGACATTTTCAGGTCATGGATAGACTGGCTAATGTGGTGTACTTCACCGGAACCATCTTATGTCATAACATCTCATCCATCATAAACTGCGAGCAGTCAGCTTTCAAGAACCTTGAAGCTGATATGACATTATAGGGTGTAGGGCTGCGCAATATAACCGGTTTACCGGTATTTACCGGTTTAGACATGAAAACGATACGCTGATCGAAAACCGGTATTTTGACATGCATTCGGAAAACTTCGTAACACTCAGAAATCTTCGGATATTTCCGTTTTTTTAATTGTTCTTTTCCCTGTTTCATTAGTGCCAAATGTTACTTACATTTTTATTTTGTCATGATTCAAAGTTTTTATAAAAGGTTAATCAATCATAGTCAGCCAGTTGTTGTGTTTTTGCTATATAATCAAGCATTAACTCGATTATAAGTAGTTTCTGTTAAAAAATAATCCTTGCAATATATTGCAATACATATCGCAATATACGCTTCCGCATCGCAATATATCGCAATATGAAAATTCTCTGCAATACCCACCCCTAATAGGGTGGCTCATTTTCCACGGTCAATATGTCCTTGAAGTTATCATTAACATAGAATTTTTATATGATCTTTATCATTGCTGCTTCACAATTTTAAGTGTTATATTCAGTAAATATTTTGGTGACACGCAATTCAATGTTGCTCATTAAAGAGATGTTTGTCAAACATTCACTAGAGTGTCCTTCAAATCATTATTGGAACCAACATGAGCTTCAATTTTGTATTCAGGTTATGCTGTTCAATATTTGTGCTGTTTGTCATTCTTGGATATAACAATGGAGAATAATATTGACTCACTACCTCTTTGTTTGAAAATCGGATATATAATAGATACATATAAAGTGCTACATTGTTCTTATTCCTTAAGACACTTTCATGAAAAGAGTGGATTCGATGTCCCCCAAAACACAGAGTTATTTACTATAAATAGCTAAATGGGTTACAACAATTTCTTTGAGTAAATTTGTATAATGGGAGCCATAAAAAATAGGAGTCATTACCCTAGAAATCAATTTTTATGATCACAAAGGAATTTCAGAGCAGAGTGGATCCCTATCACTTACTACGTCTTATTCCAGGGCACAGGTGGCACCATCGTCTATGCCACCACATTTCTCTATGCCGAAATGTTTGCCACAAATGGCAGTAATGGTTTCGAATGCCAGAGTCACCCTGGTAGTATTTGTAGGTTTCTCATCACCATACCCATGCACATCACACCAGGAACACGATAAAACTGCAGTACTGTTCAGAAGGGTTAAAGCCAAGTCACTCACACAGGACAGTGAGAGCTGCTTGAAATAAGGAGTAGGTGGTGGAATATAATTACATGGACAGATTTTCAAGACCTATATCCCAATAATGATGGAGAGGCAATTAAAATGAGACCAGATAGTTTTTGTTCATTACAAAGGAAAATGTCAAGTTATAAAAACTATATTGTTATTATGCTAACTATTTTGAAATGCTTAATGCTTTAAAGCTAACTATATTTGGTTGCTGATAAAGCCTTAATTTAAAGAAATGTACTAATAGATATTCCAATATGTAGGTTGGTAGTCACATTGGTTTGAAATGCACGTATGCTCACCTACACTGTCACATTATTCAAGATCCTTGCGTAAATACTACTTGCATAGGTGACCTCCAGAAGGTCTGATGTCTATTACAGTCATATTGTAGCCTGGTTTCTATGGTGTAGCTTTGGCTACTGATTTGTCTCAGGTAGGTTTAAGAATATGACAGTTCACAAGACTATAACTATGATGTAGCTTGTCACAAGGCAATATGACAAAAATAATCGACAGAAATATGGTACTTTGGAAGAAGGTCGAGTTAGAGTTACAGATTGTCATGTCATATTGCAGAACAGCCCCCATCACCTTCAGGTCGTAGAATAAGTATGCCTTACTTTGACGTGAGTCAATCACCAATACCACCATCTGCCATGGCCATGAGGATGGGTGGTAGTCTGAAGCGTAAGTAGCAGTTACGGTATCCATCCTGGGCCCTCAGTTTCTGGCAGCAGACTACTTGATCATAGTCCTGCTTCTTTATGACAAGTCTGGTGACCTTCTTTAGCCTTGGCCACTGCATTCACTAGATGCAATTTCTTATATCTTTCTGAGCTCAGCCTTCATAAAAACATTTTGCAGGCTTCTCTGCTTGACGACACATATATGAACATCTTAAGATTTTTGTTTAACTCAAGATTTTAAAACCAGTTTGGCAGTCTTCCATCTAACTGACCAATAAACGAAACATTTCCATAATCATAGCTCATACTTCATTCATATTCAACTCTTCTACATTTGTTCCACTATATATTTTATATTTTATGAAATCAGTTTGTTATATTTTACATAGCTGACCCATTTAAATGGCAGTTGGAAGCTATTTCTACCCTTATTTCATAGTTAGAATAAATTATCATTTTGAATTTGTCTTCTGCATCTGCTTACACTGTCCATTCTTGGGACCTACATTTTCTTGCTGTAGGTATTGCAACCAGACCTTTCCCACTTCTAAGCTGGTTCACACCTTGTGCTTCAAACTCCAGTGGCTTACAATGGCTTAGTTTGAGCCAGTCAGTTTTTCTGAGCAAGTGTCTGACAACTTTCCATAGCTTACTGATGTCCATGACCCACTGCATCATAGTGAGACTTCAGGTTCTAGCTAGATGCTGGCAGGCACTATTGATGGTGTAGAGAGCTGTCAGCTTTGCTTAGATCCATCAGCTGGACTCAGTTACATCTGCAAACACCCACTACTTCATGCTGATATCATGCTGCTTCCACTCTTTGTACAATCTGGAGACATTCTCTACTTAAATCAGCACAGTATTGTCAAAGACAGAAATATAGTTCTGCTGATGCCTTGTGGCAGAACTCGCTTGGAGACAATCAGAGAATAACCAACCCACCTCTGGAAACAGGATTTAATTATGCCTCCTGTGAGGCTTCTTACACTATCATAGTAAAGACTTGTATGTTTCATGGTCAACTTGGAACTAGTTTTCTTTGTTTGATAAAAGGTTAGCATGAGCTTGGAAGTTCAGTTACCGAAGATGATTTCAGTATGTCATCAATGGATATCTTCAGGTCTCAGCGATATTTGAGGTAGCATTTGTGTCCTTCCGAATGTTGTATGAACTTCCAATGTACTGTTGCATGAAACCATCCTCCAAGCAGCATGAATTTTTATTTCAGTCAGGAATATGTTTATTGAATTTACTAACCACTTGAAAAGAATGAAACTAATTGAATGTCAAGCATGTCCTCTCAATTATGCCAGTATTAGAATAAATGATGTTTTTTGTATCAATGATGTTGATTTATGTGATACTTTGATGCTGCAGTTGTGCATATGATTTATAAAGGGTTTTTTAGCGTGAGCTTTGTACATAGAATTGCTAGTTTATCACTATTCAGATAAGATCCCATTATTTCTTGCTATCTGCTTTGTATTTCAGGGAAAATCCCATAAGTCAGTTTTCTTATCAATCATCATAAGTTCTTTGGGAATTGTCCAGCATTGTGTTCTACAAAATCATTTTAACAGCATCACTTCTTCTTCATTCCAGGTGCTTGTATTCGATGCTGTCCATGTTGGTCTACCAGGCTAACACTCCCTGCTTCCACCTGATGTATAACTCTTGCTGTGTGTGCTTCATTACAGGTATTTACCACAAGCCAGCACCAGTAACACCAGCTCCTGCACCTCCACCGCAGCAGCCACAGCAGCAGATCTACAGCCAGATTGGCAACCAAAATGGGCCATCAGATATGGATAATGAGAGGTAGGTTCCAAACAATAAAATTATCATTCACCACAACATGGCATTCTTCAATGCTGAAACTGTCAACTACTTGCCTGTTTAAGATGTGTTAATGCTTGAGGATATCAGACAACGTGATTGTGTCCATTAGTGATATTTCACAATCTATATTATTGAAGACAGGCTTGAAATCGATTTCTGCTTCAGTGTTCTTCGAATGCATCACGACTATGACATGAAAACCTTTCATTTCTCTCTTCATGATAGAACCTCATTGGAGGAGCATTTTAAAGTTATACTATTCAAAATATGTTAAGGACCACCCAATTTGTTTCATATTACAATTGTTAATCTATCATGCCAAAGTAATATGAAAAAATCAGGTGGTCCTGGACTTCTTTTGAGTAGTATATGTGACATCAAGGATTTTGGATTTGCTTGTTCCGACTGATAAACTTTGATAAATGCTTTGATAAGGTTGGAATGCTCAGATTTGAAATATAAAACAAACGTCTCGCTCACTCGTTACAGCTGAAATTCAGTTAATATTAGGTTGCATGTAGCCAAGTGGTTTCAGTCTGTTTCTCCAAATGTCAGTTTCACCCATATTATAAATTTTAGATTGTCAACACCTTTGCGGGTTTCAGATTGGTACACCTTTTAAATCTGTTCATCACTTTGGGCTGTGGTGTAATTGAAATGCTTTCAGGACATGTCAAAGTGCCACAAAAATCTGCCATAGTCACATTATGTGTTTTATGCAGCATTATGTTATTATGGTAATGACATAAACGGAAACTGGTTTGTTCTATGATTAGCACTAGTTACAGCTGACCATTGGACTCGGATGTAGGATGTGCCTTTGTATAAACAGGAAATGGACGATGCTTGAAGCCATATGTTTTGAATGTGAAAATTAAATTTGGTTGTTCAGAATGAACTGTGCAGTTTGAATGGAAGGTGATTGTCAACCAGACTGACTTGTGAAGGATTTAAAATATTGATGTTGGTTCAATCTACTTCGCTGCCGTCAGCTGCGCTGCATGTTGTTGATGGGATGTAAAGCAGTCTTCACTTCCATACATTACATGCCTTCCAAAGTTTACTGATGCACTTTGTTTGGGATCTTTTTGTATTAGAGAGTTTTTTAATTTATCAATTTTCAAACTTAGGTGTGGTGAGGTGAAATGGGGTTTAATGTCGCACTAAAGATTATTTCGCTCATATGATGAGGTGCATGCATGTGTATGTGTGGCTGCTTGTACAAGCCCAGACTTAAGCTGGTTTTATAGTGCTAGCTCACTGAGGTACCATGCCGCAGCATGAATACCCCACTCATTCACATTATACTGACTCCGAGCCAACCAGTCTTTGTACCCATTAATGCCGAGCACAGGGCAGGGACCAACAAATACCATATTTTAACGTCTCTTGGTATGATGCGGCCGAGGATTGAACCCGCAACCTTCCCCTCTCCAGGCGGTTTGATAGTGGTATAGGAACCTACACCTAATCAGGGCTATTAGAGTATATTGGAGAAGTATTTATCCATATGTTGTGTCTACTTTGTCATCAGTCAGCTTCTAAGAAAAGGCTGTCAAACATAGAAACGTAATCTGGATGAACTAGGATTCAAACCAATAATCACAGGTTTCTGATCCCCAAGGAACATAACTCTCGTATAACTTGCATCTATGATAAAGAGAACTTAGGACTGATTTTTTTACACATGAATAAGTTGGGCCTCATTTTTTAGACAGTTAGGGGGGTATTTTGATACAAAGCATAATCAGTTTTTCTCACAGGTCAAAATGGGCCTCTGTCATTCTGAAACCTTGAATTTGGCTCCTTGTTTCTGTTGCATAGCTACATGCCAAAAATAAAAGTAATTGAAAAATAACAGTCCCAGTCTATCCGACATGTTCATAGGTAAGCTGGTAGTATACTGTCTGCTGATACACCAGTCAATATGTGCCATATGCTAGACTGGATGGAACAAAGTAGGTAGTACTAACACAGCATATGGGGAAGTATCGATGTAGAAACAATATTGTCAGTGAGCATGTTCCCTCAGCAATAAATCACTATGTAAAGAGTGATTTGCCTGCATTGTCATATTGTTGTTTGCTGTGGAAGCTGTGCTTTCGATACAGGTTGTTTCCTTTATATTATACATTTTTTTTTTTTTTTTATTTCCTTATTTTCACATACATGTTGAGTAAATATGCAACAATAATATCTTTGTGGCTGATTTTTTTAACATCCTGGGAACAGAATAAAAAGTTGAATATACTGCTTAATTGCCACACGATGCAATTATTAAACTTTTAACAGGATATCGATGTTCCACAGTTATGTGGTTTATAAGCTTTTTGTATCTGGTTTCAAAGTATTATCTGTGATATCAAGTAGAATGAAGTTGTCAGAGATGTCAAAATTACATTTCCTGAGTAGTAATTAACGTTTTTAAGCTATTGATCTGCGTCTTGTGAAGATGGATAGTGAAGTATCTAAGGAAGTAGACACATGAGTGCATTTGTAAGGTGAGAGCTCGAGTTGATGAGCACTGACAGAAAGGTGAGATTGCAGCCTCTGTGTGTGGGAGGAGGTAAACAGATGCCCAAGTCATGGCCGTTACCACCTGGGGCAGAATGAGGAGAGAGTCCCTCATATAGGCTGCAGATACAGCCTACTTCCATCCACAGAACACCTGGGATAGGGTGATTGGAGGGATGGGTAATGGGATGATCGAATGCAGCAGTAGTTTGTTGTTTAACTCAGTATTGCAGCTATATGACAGTGGTCTGTAAATAAACAAATCTGGATCAGACAGTCCAGTGATTGACATCAGGAGCGGGGATGTATACATTTGGGATATGATGACATTCATCAGCTACGTCATTGGGCCTGACACAGACTTGAAGGAAGATTCTTGCTTTGATCTTTATTGGGTATGGTTGACTATGATAGGTTATGGATGGGTGGAAAGTTTCTTAATTTTGAGATAATCAAACTGGGTTAGGTAATCGGAAGTTGGTGGAATTTTACAAAAGAACAACAGTAGGGTTGTGAAATGGGAAGGGAATTGTTTTGGGGGTAGTTGGTGCAGCAATAGACAAGTTTGGAAAGAGTAATGAGAATTAGATGTATGAAAGGCTTGTGAGATTAGATGACTGATCCAAGTGATAAGGTTGCTGGTAATGTGGTAGTGGTGTGGGAGCCTGGTGGAGTAATCATGCAGCGGTGGTCATAACTTACACCCAGATACCTGATGATGGGGAGGATGGTTGGATGTAAAACAATAGAACACCACATCAGTCTAACTAGGGTGGAGTGGTGGATTAGGTTGGTTATTGTTCAACGCCTCACTCAGCAATGTTCCAGCTATGGCAGTGGTCTGTAAATATTGAGTCTAGACCAGACAATCCAGTGATCAGCAACATGAACATCGATCTACGCAATTGGGAATCGATCACATGTGTCAACCAAGTCAGCGAGCCTGACCACCCAATCTCATTAGCGCCTCTTACGACAAGCATGGGTTGCTGAAGATCTGTTCTAACCCAGATGTTCATGGGTCAGAGTGATGGAAGGGGAGGTGATAGGATTGGCAGGATGGGTGATGGGATAGGAGGCGGAATGATTATACCTTTAACCTAATGCATGTCAGTAGCCCATCAGGTGTTAAATGATTGGCGGAAATGATCGTGATTTTATGTAGCAGCAGCAGCAGATAAAACTTTCTGAGACCACCTGTGGAGAATCTGGGGATGTTAAAGTTATTATGCTAAGACGAAACCATCCAAGATCAACTGAAAGGGAATCTGAAATAGCATGAAGCAGCATCTCATTTTAGACCAAGAGAGAAGAGGTATAAAAGGGGAGGTGGAAAGGAAGCTGTGAGGGTGTGAGAGCCATCTGTTGCCGGAAGAGTCTCAGGTGCATTTTACTCAACAAACCATTATCATTTTGATGCTGTGGCTCTTCTGAGAATTTTTTAGAACTCATAAACAAGCTGAAATGTTGTCAATAAATGGATAAAACATTTTACATCAGTTTCGTAAGTGATTCCACTTTTAGATATATATATCTTCATGTATATTGACTCTCTCAACCTCAGTAATTGAAAATCTGCTGAAGCAGTTCAGGATCTAGCTTGATTACTGATTTGATTTGTTAGAAGAAGCACTTTAAGCACTGCCATGTCGTCTTTACCAGAACCAATGTGGAACTCTGACCAACAAGGCATGATGGGAATGGTTACACTCAATAACCAGCACCTCGTTCAGCAAGCAGTTTTAGTGTATTGAAACCATCGCAACTCCTATGCTCTAACATGGACGTGTGATGGTCGTAACACTGAGATCATTTCGTGGAATGGTGACCTTGAGGATCTCCTACTATTCCTGTGTTAGCAAGATTTCCCCCATGGCGTTGCTGAAATAGTCAGCATTGATTCCCATTCTGCACCCAAGTCAGACAGGACTACAATCACAATAAAATCTTTACTGCACTGTAAATCTGCTAGGTTTGTTTTTGAATGGCTTGCAGGCAAATTGAAAGCACTGCAATTGCATGTTCTGCAAATATATGTCACATGATCCAAGTAAATACCAGCAAAATACTGTATTTTAGGTTTAAATTAACCAAATTCTGCAGCAATAGGAAAGGAAAGTCTGCCCGAGGAACTGTTTGAATGAAACAACATATCTAAGAAGTATGATGATAGTAGTTTGTAAAGAAGCAATGATATTATTAGCAACATGGCATTCGGACTTTATCATTTCTATTATTGCCAAGTTTGAAAAGTTTGTTTTAATAAAAATCATTCTGTGTCCATGAAATGAACTAAACTGAAACACTGACATGTAATTTGCCTTATTCTAGAAAAAAATGACAGCGGCAATGACAATCTTTTTGTGCGCTTTATACCTATGGACCCACACAACACATGCATCCACTTGTAATATAATGTACACTACATGCTTGTATAACTTTTTGTTTTATGTTTCCATGATTCT